CCTCTAAATTGCAGTCTGACCAAATGAACTGCGGTCAAGAGAATACACCCACTTGTACAAAGTCGACTTGGAAGTCAAGAGTGCCGTGGGTCATGGGTAAGAGGTACTCGTCGTTTTATGTAAAGCATAGACTAGGGTGCTATTTAGCTTAGCTCTTTCTAAGTAATTTTCATCAAGTTAAAAACTCACATTTTTTATCTTTTGAAATTTAGTTTTATTCATGAAAAGCTAAGATTTTAGAAATAAAAACATAATTTGTAAACAAGTTTTCGATAAAAGTAAGGTTTGGAACTTTTTGAAAAACTTACGTATAAACTTTTTTTTTTTTTGGCTAAAATTCTCCTTTTCTTCCAAAACTAATTTAACCTTAATAAAAATGACTTTTAACAAATTCAAAAAAAATCTGCCAAACAGCCCCAATGTGTAGCTTAGTCCATGTGAGTCAAGCGTATTGATTTGAAATTTTCAATTTAAAAGTGAAACGATTTCTTTGGAGAACAGAACTGTTATTAGGAAAGAGACTTTTTTTTTTCTTGTTAATTCAATAAGTTTAGTATTGAAAGAAGGAAAAAAGAAAAAAAAAATTAAACCATATATACTTTATAGTTGTGGTTGTTTACGTTGGAGAGTTAAGCAAGCTAGTACAAGAGTACATGCTTGAAAGAATATGAACATATACGAAAGAAATACCATATTAAACTTAAAAGACATATCTTGCAAGTGTAGCTACTACAAATCTTAACTCATTTGTTAAAGACATTATCTACCATAAAAGCGTTCTTATTGTGTCATGAATTTCTGCACACTCATAAACTTGTTTGAACTCACCCTTGATCATTTTGATCCTATTTGTTGGGGAGTCAACTAGATTGACTTAAAAGCACACACGTGAAAGAGCGTAAACATGTATAAAGAAACAACACATTGAACCCAAAAGACATGCTTATTAAGTTCATAATTCTTCACATATAAATTGCACTCCTTTGAGTCATTTTTCTTTGATGTAGAACTTTTATACATCACTCAACTCGTTTAAGCTTTTTTTTTTTTTTCAATTCAACAAGGGGAAATACATTATTCCCAATATTCGATTATTGATCAAAATTTTTACTCTTAAAACCAAACTTTCGAAATTAATGTTATGC